ATGGTGCTGCTAACAATAAACAAAGCAGCCTTTGACTTAACATCACCAAAGTGGAGAGGAGTTTTGGCTCAAGCCCACTGACTTTTACACAGCATAGCATGGAGGTTCCCAGAGGACAGTTTCTTATCTATTGCTTCTGAATTTCCCTGTGCAGTAAGCCACAGAAATATAATAGTAATGCAGCATTTAACCTGAAGATGTGAATTTTCCCACTGTTTCTGGATCTAGGTGGTATGAGATATGTGCTTTGTCTCTTCCTTCCCATTCGTTCTTTATGGATGGATGGGAGAGACATGAAATCTGTCATGGTCCCACAGCATCAACCCAGAGCCAGAAAGGAGGTGCCCACAGGCATGTGCACATGTGGTACTTGCAGTAAGATGTTCTAATGAAGTTCTGTAAGTAAATTCTGAAAGAAATTTGTCTTTGTTAAATTACGTGTTCTTGCTGTAGTTGTTACCTTCATAACCATACACATTTGTACAGGCATAATACCATGCGTATAAACTGTGACTTGAGAGGGCTACAACTAATAACTCAAAGCCACCCAAAAGTAAAAGTTGAATCTCATTAAGCCAGTATATAAATCTAAAATAACTACAAGCAAGTAGACTTATTCTGAATTCCCTAATTTTATCAAAGCCAAAACTGATCTGCATATATTAATACTGTATATATTAATAGCTTGCACCAACTGTACATTCAACTATCTAGTGTAGTTAATACAATTATATCTTTATATATAATTGTATAGCCTAAATATTGCATTCATGTTTTCCTATCTTTAATATACATGCAGTAAACAGAAAGGTTTAATTACTTGGTGAACACAAAATACCGAACATCTGATGAACTTAATGGTTTAAAATATATAATCCTGTTGGGTATCAGTTCTCATCTCCTATTAGAAAATTAAATGTTGTTAGTGTCAGAGACCTCTAATAGCTTGGATTAATGCAATCACCTCTGAACAGGGCTACCTTTGAAGCACAGCAATGTGGTGCGAGCGGAAGACACTGTTGAGACTGTGGTAGATTATAAATCTTTTTTACTTTATTACACTAAATTTTATCAAAGTAGTTTGAGCACTTTAGGAACACTATGCATTGGGAGTTTTAAGCAGTCTACTGTGAAGACTGCTTTTGATCACAAACTTTGGTAGTTCTTCCATTTGACAGAAGATTCACTATAAGGCAAAATAGTTCAGTGGCATATTACTGAAGTATTGGAGGGCTAGGAGAATAATGTTGAGAATAATTAGATGTGAGTGGAATATTTTCTCACACTAAAAACTCTGAGAACTTGTTAAACTTTAAAACATTCTCTGTTTTAAGAGAACTCACTGTTTTTGTTTGTTTATGAATGTATTTCTTGAAAATTGATTAGACAATTTTATTTTTTTATTTTTTGGTCTTTTGACAAAAGGGAGGTTTATTGCCAATATCTATTTACATTATGATAAGGGAATAATCTGATTTGTACTTATTAAATTATTCTGAGAGATGATATTGTGATCAATTTTACTATAGGCAGTGGAAAAATAATCTCTGTTAAAAGTTTATTTTTTTCTTTACATATTCATTATCTCATATTTAATAGAAGAGTCACTGTGGTTCTGAAGGGAAGTAATGTGCTTCAGGGAATTGCAATAGATTCACCAGCTGGCCAGAGGAGGGAGTGATGCAGCCATCCTGGCTGCTGAGATCTATGTTTCAGCCTAACTGAAATGTAATAGCTACTCTGGCAATCTGCTTTTGTGCCATTAAACCTTGATTAATCCAATAATAGGCTATATTTTTCTTTGTCTGCTGTAAATGAAGACAACCCTTATGAAGTCATTAGGGATACATAAGTAATAAAGGTAGTAAAACTCGGGTGCTCATAGCTAAAAATTTGATGGTACACTGGGGATTTCTGACTCTCCCTGTGGTGAAGGAAAACTTAAGAAACAAATTTGCATGCAGTAGGAGCTTTATGTCTTATGGCTTGTAAATAGTATACCAAGAACATTAGTGAGATTTAAAATAAGTACAAAGCAGAAAAAAAAAGGAAAAAAAAAATAAAAATAGCCTTTTCTTCAGTTGTGCCTTAGCTTCCAGGCAACATAAAGATAATGAGAAAGTTCTGTGAATATCTACACAGCCAAAGGAGCAATGCTGGTCTGGCACTGAGAGAAAACCTTTTAAAACTGTTAATTTACTTTTATTTCTTAATAGGTAAAAAGGAAATGTGGTGGGTCAAAATTACTATATGGTCAATTTTGTGTTTCTATTGGAATTCATTGTTACCTATCAACACTGTTGGTATTCAATCATAATAGGAAGGACAAGATTGCATTACACAAAAATGGAGGAAATGTGACTATGCAGGAGGGAGCTAGCTGGGGGTAGAATAAATGAAAAGGAAAAACAGAACCCAGGAAGGAGAAAACCATTGCTCTTTCTGAGTAAGTACAACCATTTCTAAGGAAATGGTTAGTCAAGTGTTTCCTTGGCTGTGCATCTTTAAGCTAGCAGAAAGTTGCAAATACCTTTTTTTTTTTTTTTTTTTTTTTTTTTTGTTACTTACAGTTAGTAAAAGCTGTGGCTGCAAAAATCAGGACTATGCTAGAGTAGCTTTTCTGTTGCTAACTACTTTGGGTAGTCACTCTGCTTGCTACCTGCAGTCAGCGTTGTCTGTTTAGGAGCAGAGGTCTTTCTTCCATATCCAGTTATATATGCTTGCTGTCTCAAGAGCTTGCTCATCCCCTGTATCTTTAGAGAAGTTTGGCAGGGATAACACTGGTTTGAGGATCCTGCTCCCAAAGCAGCCCTAACCCTGCTGCAATGTTCTCTCTTATTTCAATCTTCCAGATGCCACGGCCTCTGCACGGGCTGCTCTGCAGCTTGAGAGCCATCTCATTTACCTCCTTTATTCATTTCATCCCAGCTCTCTTGTTCCCTGTGCTCCCTCTCCTCCTTGCCCCTTTACCTTGTTGGCTGTGCCCCAGTCGTGCAGCACAGCCGCCTGTGGGATGCTGCTGCTGGTTTGGACACAGTGACTGTGTGGCCCTGCTCAAATCTCTGATTGTAGCCCCACACTAACAGAAGCAACAGTATTCTGATGCGCTGAAATGCTTTTGTGGAATAGCAAGAAAATATTTTGGCTTGTTCTTTCTTATGGTGATGGAGCTTCATCTTAAATAGTAAAGGGGAAGAAGTGTATTTCTAAACCCACTTTCCTCCCTTGTAAACGTGCCCAAGGGCTATTCCAACTGAGGACTCAATGTAATTGTCTCTTAGCTCTGACGTGAGGGAATGGGGGAATGGAAGAGCTGTGGTCATGCCTGCAGGTAGCAAAACATAATGTGATGTAACTCAGAAAAAAACACCTGGTTTCAGCATAGAAGGGCTAATGGATACACATTCCAAAGTTTGTCCTACTACTGAAGTGTTAAATCTCATAGCCCTTTAAAATTAATTTCAAAGCACTTCTTTGCCTCACTGCTGAAACACTACTTCCTTTCTAATCTAATCACTAGAGCAATTGGTTAAGCTTAACGCTTAAGTGTGGTTTCTCTGTAGCCCTCAGCCATGCTGTTTTCTGCTTATATGAAGCGTTGTTAGAGCACATGGAGAAGTGACAGCTGTTTGCATCAAAAAGGATGATGAAATGGAGAGCACATGCTTGTATCCAGGTATTTCACTCATCTCCACAATACACAGTGGGTAAAATTCAGCCAAATGCAGCCTGTAGTAAGTAGCTGAGGACATCTGTTTTCTGATGTGAACCTTGTTTGCATTTATACACCAAGTATGAGTTGATTGTAAGGAGAGCGTAAGTGGATTTAGCTTGTTGCAATAGCAAGTCTTGTGTGCATTTAAAATAGGTCTGGAAACATTGGCCTTAAAAAGTACTTAGAGTCAGCATAAGGGTGTTGGTGGCAAGAAAAAACACCAGTGAAAAACGATGAAGCCGCCCTTTCCTATCCTAACCCTTCACCCAATTTAATTTATACAATCTGCCATGGTCTCAGCTTTGAACCTGGATTAAAGCCCCAGATTCTGGGATACATTGAATTCCATGGGAATTGTGCCCATTCACACAAAGACGGAGTTTGTTCCCTTAGAATAATGATGTGCCTTCCCTCCGATAATTTTACAACTCGAATGCCAAGTCGGAGTCCAGCAACACTTGCTCAGTGTTCCTGCCTCCCTTGGTGTAAAACTGACACCTCCAAGAGCTCCTCTGCTCTGCCTGGTTTGGTACATCACCGCAAGCTTTCAACAACAACAAAAAAAGGACTGCCTTCAGTATTTTGCCTGGATCACTTCCCAGTCAGATAGCGTTCCCTAGCAGATGGCTGCATCCACCTTCACTGCAGCCAGCAGCGGCTCCATTCCTACACTCGCAGTTCACACCAGTAGAGTTGTTCCTGTCCTGCACGTGTGCAGCTGAGACCTGACATCAGTGGGAGCTGGAGGTGGGGATCAGCATTGGTAAATAGTCAGTAACACCAGCACTGACACCCAGTTCCTTTGAAATATTCAGAGTCAGATGTTTTTATTTAATGTTTTGCTAGGTTTTTCTTGCTCAGCCAAACCCATTACCTGTTCTTCACTCTTTGGCCTAAAATTCATGGAGTTGGTTTCCGTCTTTTCTCTGCCTCAATGGGTTGGCCGCATCCAGTCCCTTTTTGCACATTCAGGGGATTTCTTCACTTGAGTTCAATCTTTTTTCTCCTTCATTTGGCAAGTCATTTCAGGGAAGCTTAGATGTGAGGGTGTGTTTTCTTGTTTATCTGATGTACATGACAGAGCACTTTTCTAATTTTTGAACATTTACTTGCTCACTGATCCTATAGAAGATGACTCCTCCTGACATTTTATATTTCCCTGCTCATTGGGTTGCTGGAAAAATTTTTGAGAGCATTAACATGAAAGTGACAAGAGCAATCCCTGTGGTTCTTTTCCCCTCCAGCACTGCAGTAAGAGAGCACCCTGTGCTGCTTTGTTTTTCAGGTTGATGGCTTCCTGACACTTCTCTTTGGCCTGGCGAGCATTAATACCCTTACAGTGATCAGTGTGACTCGCTACATAAAAGGCTGCCATCCTGAGAGAGGTAAGGAATAAAGGCAGATCCAGTAATGCCTTCATTGAATTTGTTTTAAATCTGTATCCCTTCAGTTACACAGTTTATCAAGTATAAATTAGATGCACTGGAAACCATAGCCTAATGTAATCAGGTATGTTAGAAATGTGTATGCACAGAATCCTTCAAGAGTTAACCCCTAAAAAGGCCAAATTATCAACAGTTCCCAGAACTGACCATAACCCATCTCTACCCTGTCTCCTGCCTATCTCTCGGGTCTGTGAGGCATCATAGACACAGCCTCTCACCCACAATTCCTCCTCTTTCAATGTCCTGGTATCTGCAACCTAAATATCTCAAGCAACTACTCTTCATTACTGTCTGCAGTGCTAGAGACCTTTCACCAAGTGCTCTGTTTTTGATGTTGTTTGTTTGCTTTTAGATGTCTTTTTTCTTTTTAGCCTTTGGTATAAATGCCTCTCTAAAGGCATATGAGTGCTCCACTGTTCAAATCTGGTCTGAAATCCTTTACATGTGAGGTGAAGACCCCATCAGAAAGCCTCTATAAACATGCCACCCTCTACCCTTTTTCCTTTGTGATTCTTTATGTCACCACTCTCCCCCCAGACACTCTCTTCCACAGGATCAGGAGAAACCTTCCCTTGCCATTCAACTTGGATCTTCTGTCTGCTGAAAATTTTGACCTCCACTAGGAGCCTTACTTTGTCGCTCCTCTTTATGCCTACATATTCTATAAATTCTCCCTAGTCTTCCTTTCACCATGCACACATAATGTATTTTGAGTTTTCATGCTCTCATTATGACTGGCTTGTACAATCTTTCAAGCAGGAACTTACTCGTATCTCCATATAAAACATGTACAAACACACTGGATACATGGTATATGTTTGTTTGTTTTTCTAATAGCAAGAGCATTATTAGCTGTGAAAAGAGCTTCGACAGGGAGGTCTTTTTTTCCACAGGAAGTTCTTCTGCAGTTTGCTGAAGTTTTAGATTTGTTGAAGTTATTTTTCAAAACAACCTGTTAGAATTTGTCTCAGCTGTATTCTACAGCTTATATTCACTGCAAATTAGGAAGTCATATTTAAAATGTTTCTCTTTTGTAAAGCTGTAGCACATATTCATCTGAGGGTGTGCATAATTTGTTTGCCTCTTGAGGAAATCTGACCAAGTACTCAATATAACTTTACATAAATTTTGAAGAACAGAGATTAGTGGCCACATAAATATTTTCTGTGTAGACAAAGAAATTACCGCAATGTATGGCAACAGTGGGACAGATTAAATCATTTATACTGAATGACTAATATAGTTTGACCAGATAATATTTCTTGTCCTTTTTTAACAGCAAAAACTTTGAAATGAGTAAGAAAATCCTAGGACTTATTGTTTGTTTCATATAAAACAACATAGAATTGTTTTGTGCTTTTTACAAAATCACAAAACAAAACTGACACAGAATTTGCCAATACTGCAGTGCTCAACAAACACTGTCTTCTGCTAAAAAGCTGTTCAGTTCCACTGCTCTACAAGTGGTCTTGAACACAATCCAGACAAGTATTCATATTTCATTTTTTCTTATAAATACCTATTTCTGACTTAACTTTTCTTAAATAGCTGTGTTTCCCTTATTATTTGTTGTTCTAATAATGGCTTTAGATTTCAGAAGTTAAGCTGCCTTTCCAAGTTTTGATTTCTGACTAACCCATGTCATTGCAGGTCACTGTATCAGCAACAGCAGTATGACGGTGGCTCTGGTTCTCATCTGGATAGCAGCTTTCTTCTGGTCAGCAGCTCCATTGCTTGGCTGGGGCAGTTATACAGGTAACAGTTATCTTTCAGTTGTACATATTTGGCACCTCTCCACTTAACTAAACAAAGATACTTAGCTTTTTTTCTTGGTGTTTGTGATAAACCAGACTGATTATCAGTGGAACTGAGAAAAACATTTATCATGCATGATGTATATGCACAGTGTGCCTACTTTGGTATGGGCTTTAAAGAGATTTTTTTTTTGCAGATATCACAAATGTGTATTACCTATGAAAAAAAGAATATAGGGCCAGAAATATTTGGCATGGTTAAGCAGTGAGATAAAGGAAACTATCAAAAGGCATCCTTCAAAAACTGTCAAGATTAGGGAGCTAGAAAAGAACACAAGTTCCAGCAAGTTGAACTTGAAACTATAGTAAGACAAGCCAGAAAGATCTGGTGAAACAGTTTGAAAGTATGAAAACTAACATAGCAAAAGATGATAAAGATGCCAGAAAGTCTGTCAGTCCAAGAAGTGATTAGGATGCAAGATAAGGCCCTAGCAAAAAAAAAAAAAAAGGGGGGGGGGGACGACTAGGGGGAATAATTCATTAGTGAACACTGAGGTAATTCAATGGCTAATCTTCTCACACCAGAAACTTTCTTTAGGGGGAAAAGGTGGAAAGATTGTCTCAAGTTAAGTCTCTAAACAAATCAAAATAAATTTCTAGGAACAAATAATAATAATCATAGAATCATAGAATCATAGAATATCCTGAGTTGGAAGGGACCCTTAAGGATCATCAAGTCCAACTCTTGACACCGCACAGGTCTACCCAAAAGTTCAGACCATGTGACTAAGTGCACAGTCCAATCTCTTCTTAAATTCAGTCAGGCTTGGTGCAGTGACCACTTCCCTGGGGAGCCTGTTCCAGTGTGCAACCACTCTCTCTGTGAAGAACCCCCTCCTGATGTCGAGCCTAAACTTCCCCTGCCTCAGCTTAACCCCGTATAATACAGAAGTCCTAACAACTAAAATTGTATGACTGAAATTGTCCAAGTGTATGGATCCTGTAGACATCCGCTCTTTGATTTACAACATTCAACATATTCATAAAACAGTAGCCGAGAGTCAAGGGGCAAAAATGAAATTACAAAGTTGCTGAGGATACAGTATTAGTTTGGGTAACGTTCATTTTGCAGTGAGAACAAAGCTTCACTGTGAGAATGTGCAGAAGGGTTTTGGTGTGCTGAGCTTCTGGGCAATAACATGTCAGAGATAATTCAGAGCTAAGGAATCTAAAGTCATACAGGAAAAACTTGGTGCATTTGAAATGGTGATTACCAATTGCAAAACAGAATATAGAGTTGTGTTTATAGGTCTATGAAAACATAAACATAATGCTCAGAGATGGAAAAATAAGGAGAAAACACAAGGTACTATCAGGAAACAAATAAAAATCAGAAAGCCTAGATCTCTGGTGTGGCTGAAAAGACTTTGCAGAATGACAGTGTAGGTAGAGAAGAGATTTTTTTCCCACGAGAACTTGCTCATGGGGTCAATAACTGGGGGCTAAGGCTCAGTAGACTCCAAGGTCTACTACTAGGGTGAGGTTTAAGGCAAGGGTGAATATCAAGAAAAGGCCAAAGCCAGAGCTGCAGCATGTGAATGTTTATTTATTACATACATATGCTTTGAAGTATCGCTGCACCCTTGAAGGACACATGAGAAAAGCAGCTATTTCTATGATTGTTGAATCAAATCCAACAGTCCCAAAGCAAACAGTTTTATCAGTGTATTAGTCTCTGTGGATTTTTTGTTTGGGACAGAATGACTGTTCAAATTTTATGTCTTGTTTCTGCACTCTGGATATGTCATAAGACTTGAGGAGGAGGTTAGATTTGTCATTTCTGTATATCTTCTGGCATGCTGTGTTTTCATATTCCAATAATCTTAATAATACTTCATTTGTAGAATGATTTCTGTCATCTGTTTTTGGCCCTAACTTGGAGCCAGGGACTCCTTTGCTCTGTCAGGGCATCCAAGTGCCCCCGTGGATCCTGCTTGTTATTTGGATTCAGCTTCCTAATGCCAGTTTTCATAGCAGCTTCTGTGAGTGCTTCTCCCTGCTGAGAGTCACAGCAGTTTCAGAAATCGTGGTCTATCTGATTCCAAACACGATTCCACAGAGGGCACCCATGAAGACATGGGAGCCCAGCAAGGGCAAGTTCTGCAGCAGGCAGTGGAGCAGAATGGGTGCCAGCCGACCACAGCATGTAACACATCACAGCCTCTCTGATCTGCCACTTCTTCACAGCAGCTGCAGAGGTCCCCAGGACCCCACTGACTTTTGAAAATGCCACTTCTCAGTGTCCCTGCTGAGGGGGGGGAAAACACAGCCCTGAATTCTGACTCATATTAAAACTGAGGGATTTTCTTTTCATGTCATGTGGAAGCTGCTTTCTTTTTTGAAGTCAGAAGTTTGCACAAATGAGAAACTTAGAATTAAGCCAGATACTATGGTTATCTATTTGAATAGTATCTTGGGATCTACTGATGAAAAAGGCAAAGGAGATTCTATTACTGAGCACATCCAGACAGCAACACCTAAAGCTCTTGGTGTTAAAAATATTGAGCTCTTTTTGATGAGACTCATGAAAGTGATTTTAATCTTATGCTCCTTTAATTCATCCTATCTAAACCTTCTATCACCCATGAGGAATTAAGGGATTTTTTTCTTCAGAATTATCTCTGAACGCCAGGGAGAGATCGGTTGCTAAATCATGCAAGCTTCACCTGTGTTGTATTTCCAGGACTTGTTAATACTTGACTTACGTAATTTTGGTTTATGCTTCAATTATTTATAATTTGGTTTACTGCCATGGCTGTCAGGGGAGGAATAATAGCAATAATAGTAATAATAATATTAAACCACACACAAAATAGCTTTCTTCCCTTAAACCAAAAATCAACAACTCACAGAATATAGAAAATCCTTAATGACATAAAATTCAAGTTTTGTGTAAGAACACATTTGCAAATTACATCCTTTCCATTAACAGCATATCATCTGTATTTATATGCTTCATCTTCCCATAATTTTGATCAGCTGTATCAATTTGCTTTCACCTCTCACTAGAGTAAAACGTTCATTACCATTTTGCTTCTATTTAAAAAAAAATAAACTCAATACTTTTACTTCCTACTTTGCTTGTAAGTATTGAATTCTTACACATGACATATTGTCCCTGCAATTGCTTGTTATGCTGGTATAGAGCTCGTCTTAGAAAGTTACTACATAGAGCACTGTCAAATAACAGGCTACAGAGGAATATCAGACCTACTAAATTAATCCACAATTAGCATCATAATTTCCTATCTTAAAACAACAGTTTGTGCATTATGGATCTACACAGGAAATCTAAATGGTACAGAATGATAATATGCATTAAAACTTGTTATGGTCTAGCCGGTCTTGAAAAATTGTTTATGTAGGAGATTGTGTCACAGCTCATTAAATCAGAAAGATCACTCCATTCTTTACTGCCTAAAAGAAGAAAAATACAGCTTCTAAATTGATATATTAATCATGCAAAACTAGATAAATGTTCTAAAACTGCTAACCAACTTATTTTTGTTTTCCAGATCGCATGTACGGAACATGTGAAATAGACTGGGCAAAAGCCAACTTCTCTACAATCTACAAGTCCTACATTGTCTCCATTTTCATCTGCTGTTTCTTCCTACCTGTGACAGTCATGGTCTTCTCATATGTGTCAATTATCAACACTGTCAAACTAAGCCATGCATTAACAGGACTCAACGATCCCACAGACAGACAGAGGAGAATGGAGCGGGATGTCACCAGGGTGAGTGTGGTTTCATATTGGGTAGGATTCATCTCAGTGAACGCTGTCTATCCAAAAATTAAGAAGAATAGAACAAAAGAGAACAAAACCCACCACTCACATTTAATTTCTCTGTAATCTTTAGTGACAAAGTCTGAACTCAGTGAAGTTAACATAAGGATTGTTTAAAATTCCTGCTCCCTTAGTTGGCTAATATTAGTCCTACATAACATGAGAAAAATAATTTAAATATAACTAAATACAGCACAAAAACTGAAGTTTTGTTTGGCATATTCCCTTTTCTTTCAGCAGAGATGTAACTTCTATGTGTGCTCAAAAGCAACAAGGGAACTTTCAAATTACTTGTCCTAGACCTAAATCTATCCTAAGTCTTCTGAGTTCAGATAAACATTCAGGGGGTTGTAGCTATTTTCATTCCATTCAATGAGGCATTGCTCAAGCACACCTCATACCCAAATTAAATATCTAACTTCTATGCCTACCTGGCTCCATCAAAGCAAAACTTTTGCTTGTCTGTACACTCCTGTGAGCCATACCTTCAGTAGAAGCTGAATGTTTCCCTTCCAGCTGAGTTTTCAAGCTACTATTACCAGTGTATTTCTTCCCTGATGCAGTCTTCCAGTATAGATTTAAGGCTATTTTTCATCTGTCTTCTAGGTTTCTATTGTCATTTGCACAGCCTTCATTATTGCATGGTCACCATATGCTGTCATCTCTATATGGTCTGCCTACGGTCACCCTGTGCCCAACCTTACCAGCATCCTTGCCAGTTTGTTTGCTAAGTCTGCCAGTTTCTACAATCCCATTATCTACTTTGGAATGAGCTCCAAGTTTCGGAGGGACATTTTCATCTTGTTTCATTGTGCCAAGGAAGTCAAGGACCCTGTGAAGCTCAAACGTTTCAAAAACCTCAAGCAAAAACAAGAGCCTTCTCAGAAAGAAGAGAAGTATGCAGCAGAAATGCACCCTGCACCGAGCCCTGATTCTGGGGTGGGAAGTCCAAGCAACACTCCACCTCCAGCAAACAGGGAAGAATATTTTGGCATTCATGATACACCATCTATTAACCCTGACATTGAATGTGATAGACTGTGAGTTTTGTGGCCACTTAACACACTCACCCACTTTGTGTTCAGCAAGATCCTCTTCAGATCATTGCTTGAGTGATCTCCCAACTCCCGATCCATCTGTTTCTTGCTATAGCACTGATGGTTATGCAATTCAAGCAAATCAGATGACAAAGTGATATTTTTCCTTCTGTGTAGGTACAAAATGCTACAAAGCATGTTACAATGTGGGCAGCACACCCAGTGCCAGAAACATTCCATTTTCACATGTATACAAAAAAAAAGGAAGGCTGACTTACGAAGACAAGGGATTAGCTAGCAAAAAGATCACTAATGTTCCCATCCAAACTGTATTAATTATGAGATTACATTTCCAAATGTTTTTGTTTTTTTACTCTTTAACAGTCTCAGCCATAGAGGATCACTCCCTGTTTGTCTATGCAAGTCCTAAGAGCTGTAGATCTCAGCATTTTGTAGTCACTGTAGGCTCAACAGTGGCTTTACACTTTTCCTTGTTTGTTTGCAGAATTATTTCCATCTTTCCCAACTTTCCCAGTAAGCAGGGCCTGGCTGTAGTGTGCCCATTCATTAAAGCCAAAAAGCTGGCTTTAATTTTCCTGATGTGCCTCCAGCTTGATTGTTTTTCTACATGACTATTAAGGTGGAGCAAGAGATGCCATGCAGGCAATGAAACCAATGACATTAAGCCTGCAAGAATATTGGCAAAGTATGGCATCAGAGCTATTTACAGAATATAATCCAACACTTCGCTGTTGCTCTAAAGAAAGTTTTTGTACCTGCCTATTGGTTTAAAAAAAATAAAAAATAGATAAATCAACTAAGTGGTTTAAATAGCAAAACTGTAGAATTAAATCAGCAGCAAGGTTATCAGATACTATAGTATCCAATTATTCCATCAAGTTTATTTTTCAAAATGGAAGTGAGGAGGTATATGGTCCTAATTCCCCATTTTACACATTTTTATAGAAGTCTCTGAGTACACAGCTAATTACTATGCATTAGCCCTGGAAATTTTGGGGGTTTATTCAGTGACATTGGCATGCTAAGCAAGGGGAGTGGAGGGGAACAAAACCATTTGTTGCCAGGCTCACTGATATTTATGACTTTATGGAATCTTTCACCATCCAGGTATGCAAAAATGCAGTTGTTTTGCACAAGTCTGTAACTTTCCCAAGAAACACATTTGGAAAAGCAAAGAGAGCCCACCTTAATTTCCTCCATTACTCTATTTGTTTTGAGAAAATCACCTGTGTTTTGAAGTTAAAAACAAATAAACATTATAAGCAACAGTAGGGAACTGTTTTCTTTCATGGCCACAGATCCGAACTACAAGAATATTCGTCTTTGTGGAAAATTGAAACATGGGTGCTACTTCATTACCATAAATAATTAAAAGCAAATAAGTAAACTGTTGACTTCCAGATGAAAGTGCATGCTGTAACTGCCGAAACAGACGAAGCCATTTAGGGCCAAACCCTGTCCCAGCTGGATGAAGCCAGGCTGGGCTAGCCAAAGCTGCCACGCAGTTTTGAAAGCTTCTAGGCCTAACCCAAAACCTACCTTAGCAGCACTGCTGGACAGGGCCTTGTCACTGCTGCACACACGTAGGTGTCCCTGCAGGGAGGCATGCCATATGTCCCCATCAGATGTGGCTTGATGCCAGGTTGGCATTTAGTTTGCATTTACACTAACTCATGGATGTTTAGGGAAAGTACTTGCCCCACTGCACTGTAACAATGCCAATGATCTGTGGGATCCAGACTTTGATGCAGAAAGATGGGAAAATTGCAAGGGGGGGTAGCAGAGCAACAAGGCATTTTCCAGGAGTCTGCGCCCCTTCCCACTCCATCAGCGTGCCAGCCAAAATCTCTGCTAGTTCATATGCTATTGCACATGTACACAGCAGTGAGACGGAGATGAGAGAGTAGTTAAAATGAACCAGAATGTGAACAGAACAGCGAGATAAGAGGGAGAGAAGCAGAGGAGCAGCTGAAGGATACATACCTGCTGGAACACAACTAGAAACCGCTAACACAGCAAAACCTATGACTGGGCTGCACACACCTCCCTCCTGCCATTCCTAAGGCTACCGTGCTTTGTGGATAGAGGGTAGTACCATGAGACTGCATTGTCTGTAGAGCAGAACATCTGGTTTTGCTGGTTACTCAGGGGAAAAGAGGATAAGATGCCTTTGCAGGCACCAACCTGTGCTCCAGGCCCAGTAAAAGCACGAGTACATTTGTCACTGAAGTTCCTCCTGTTGTTAAGCCTCTAGCCCTAAAGCAACAGCTCCTGTAGCTACACGCAAGACACCTGCAAGTGCCTGAAGACAGATAAAAGAAAAAAAAATAACAAAACACCATCCAGAAACCATTACTGCCCAAGTGCAGGTAAGAGGATGCACTTCAGGTTTTCAAGTGTGCAGGTTAATTTGTAGAATGCTTTGCCTCCATCCTGCTTACCTGTTCTGCATTTTCTCCTTTTGTCTCTGGTCCCACACTTGCCTGGATGAGGCTGGCCCCTGTTTCTTCCTCCACAGGAGGCTGCTCCACCTGCCACGCCCATGCCACTGGCCAGGGAGCAACAAAGAGCTGAGGGGCTTGAGAGCATCAGTTAGGGAAGACGACCTAGGTCTGCTGAAAGTAGATGAAGGAATCCTACAGCCTGTTCCCTATGATTTTCACTCATTAACAGTGAAATACTGTGTAAATGGCATATAAAGGCCTAGAGCCAAATTATCCCTCCTTCAACATCACATTCCCCAAACATTCAATTTGCTTTTGCAGTGGATGAGTTTTATCAGGAGAGATGTGAGAGGGCTGTTGTAACAACCAATACACTGGTGATAAGGACGCTCTCCTGGGACACTGTGGCTTTGAATGCTCTCAGTCTGAGATGGTCTGAGAAGGGAGGTCCTGCGCCCCTGGATGAAGCAAAGAACCAGCTGCTCCTAAGCTGTCAGTTCTAAAATATTTTGTTTTCACATTTTCTAATGCTAAAAGCAAGTGGTACATCAAAGGTGGAAACATATCATATCTCCATGAAAGAGGACATCCCATCCGAGTGCTGCCACATCACTATGTGAAGGCATCACATCAGGCAGGCAGCATGGGCCCAGGTCTTACACTGCTTCCACCTGGGTCCTTTTAAAATGTGCTTTTTATTGAATGCTCTAGTACCAGCCTGCACAAATGAGATCCCATGACTATTGCTAGCAGCCAAATGGTCAGGAATTTCTCGTCATGCTGGAAGAGAAATGTGTTCAGATCTTCCTCCATTTGGCATAGAAGCTCTGGCATGTAGGCTCCTTCTGTATCTCTTACTCAACACTGGATACTACTGTGAAATTTGTAATTGAATGTGGTAGGACAAGCAATCCTACCATTTCAAAAGGATGCTGTCAGCATTTGCTGGCTTGTTCCAGAGGGATCTGAGACATACGTTAGCTCTCTTTTACTGCTAGATGCAAGGAACGCAGCCAGCAAACCTTGCTGTTTGTTATCCATTTCCGTACTCACAGCCCTGTTGGCAACACTAAAGCACTCTGGCAAAAATGACATGCTTCAGCATAATAAAAGTCACTCTGTAAAACACTTGAAACACTTGAGCCACCTTTTAAATATGCCTTTAACTACCCTACATATTCATTTCCAAACATTCCCTGTTTTGATTAGCAGTAATACAAGTGAATTCTTAATGGCTACACAAAAAAGCAGGTGAATTCTTAATGGCTACACAATGTCTTTACATGTGCATCAATATCTCATCAACTCTTACTTGACTATTTCTTATCTAGATTATTCATAATAACCAACATATCCATTACACCACAGTCACTGCAGTTATTAAGGTTTGTACATACAACTTGACCTTGTAGGCAGATTACCAGTATCCCCGTTGCTGACACAACCATTTTACTTAGGCTACACAGTTCAAGCAATAAAGCTAAGCATGAATTACTTACATTCAATTTCCACGCTTAAAAATAGCTGTAACTGATTGAGGAAAAAAAAATATGATAAAGCTATAATTTGTTCATTTATTCTAAGAAAACCTTTTGGGCTCACATTTTCCCTGCTGACATTTTTGCCGAGCTGAAAATCCCTTTGGGTGTCAGCACTTTGAAATACATAACAGCATTTCTTCATAGCTTTGACATTTCTAATGGTAACATGAATAACCTGAGCGTGTAGTTAGAGGAAGTAGGACAGCATACTGCATACCAGTCCCTGTTCTCTGTGCTATTTATGCCTTTTTATCTAATGACTCATGTAAAGCATTTCTGGTAGCAGAGATCAAGTCTGGTCAAGTCTCCCTTGACCTCTCAAAGACAATGACTTTACAATGACCCTACTACAGTGTGAGCTACTCAGGCTTGCACACCTTTGCAGGGTTTCTCTCCACACCCAGAAATCCTTTATTCTTTGCTGTGAGGACTAACAAGATAAGGTAGCTACAAGGTGCACCAATCCAAGTGCGTCCTATGGTTGGCACTTTTCATATGAAGAAGAGATGGAGGGAAAAATCCTTTCCCAAGGGTAAGGCTGTACTAGAGCTTTGTTCTGCTGCCCCAGTGAATGCTCTCACCTCTGGGCAATAATGAAAAAAGGAGCAATGCTACCATGTCAGTATTGTGAACTACCTGGACAGTTAAGCACTATTTATAAGCCAGCCTAGATCAGGTTCTCTTTCAGTGTTGCATCTGCCCCTCTGCCTACTTCTCAAATTGCCAAAGACCAAAGTCTGAACCTATTCAGTGCATCAACAAATGCAAAAGACTTTTGCAAACACTTCAGGAACACTTTTGCAGACCAAAGTGAAGGTGCCTGTAGGGTCAAATGGGTCTGTGTATACCATGCGGTCTGAAGTGCCTAATTGCAACCTAATTCAGTGAGGACTTCACACAAGCCCCCCACTCGGGGGTACTACTTGATGTGCAGAAGAAGTACAAGAATAAAGTAAAGATTCAAGGAATGTCCAAACAGTAGTGCAATAACAACATATCAGAGAGTTACTAC